GCAAAATTGAAGTTTTATAAGTTTGGATGAAGTGAAAGAGTGGTATTTATATAAAATAAAAATTATTGAGAGCTGGAAATTTGGTGGGAGCAGTTGGGCTGCGAAACCGCGTCTGGGGAATAGAGAATATCGAAGGGAAAAGTAAGTTTTTAATTAATTTATATTATAATTTATTGGTGCTTTTTACTATGCACATAAATTAAGACAGAAAAAAAGAATTTGGTGGGAAGGAAAGTTTGTGGAATCTGCTGGTATTCAATTTCGGCAACATATTTTGAAGTTTGAATTGAGAATGGAGAAAAATAAATAGAAATTATGTGACGTGTAAAGGAAGAATTTCCTTTGTTCCTTCTCTACCTGGCTGCCTTTCCTCCTGTTCTCATCCCATGTGTTCATATTCTACTATAACTCTTAATAATTTTTTAGATTAAAAAACTTTAATTAAAATAAACGATTTAGTTTCAACGACTCTCAAAATTGACGACTGATAACTCCGTTAAATATTTTAGGTTAAATCTAACAAAAATTTGATGGGTCTACCCACTAAAATCGATTGATCGGTTCAAATTTAAATAACCATTTGAGTTATTACTCGAATCAAATTGTTACTTTAAGGAAAGTTTAGGAATTTAACCAATTTTTTAAGCTACGAACCCCTCTTTTAGGTTGAATCTAAATTAAAAATGATGCCTCAACTAGTCAATCGTGTTTAAAGGACAAAAGTATCAAAGTCAATGTCATATCAATGTTTTCATTTGACGAGTACAATTCCAATTATTTGGATCCGGTAATTCTCCATTTTATTTTCTGGTCAATTTTATTATGGATTTGTGTAGAGAAATCATGAGCTCGTTTCTATAATTTGTTAGAGACCGTTTGTTCTCAACTGTATATTAGTGTTAATTCTTCTGTTTGTAATTGCTCTATTCACCGGATGATTTATATAAATCAATGCGTACCAAATTTTTTTTATATAATGTTTATATGTTGCCTCCTATGAATTAGTTTAGCGGTTGTTCACTTTAGAAATTAACCTCAATTTATTATGTCCATAGAAATATCGTTAAAATAATGTTGATAACGATAGATATTCGGTAAATTTAAAAATCATAAAAATAATTTCAATTAATAGTGAAGCTATTTTCATTTCCTAAATAAGTTATAGTTATAATATTATTAGTATTTATATTTATTTAGTGACTAATTGACGATATTTCTTTTATGTTTCTTGAATATTTATACAAAGTACTTGGTCACTTGCTGAAATTCTTCAATTACCTGAGACTGAGACTTGAGAGTTAAAAAATTTTCTATGATATGGTTAAAATTAAAGTTTTCACAATTGTGTGTATTTAGTCTTTATATTTCTATAATTCATTAACTTTTAATTCCGTGTCTTAGATCTCTACCATCAACTACGTTTCCACCACCGTCAAATATTTCTAAAATCAACTCGCCATATATAAACCTTAAAATAACACAATCAAGGTACTACATAAATATTAAATTGATGAAGTTCACGTACAAATTTCAATTAATGACTCGTATATGATGACACATCATGCTTTATTATATATTTTCCTTTGGGTATTAACTATTAATTATTTTTTTATTAAATTATAATTTTTTTTTGTTCTATTTGAATATATAATTGAAGTTAGATTGATATTGTACATTATTAAATCACCAATTTAGTGAGGGAGTTGAAATATTGTTTAGTCATTTTGAATTTATATATATATATATTACACATTAGAAGTCAAGTTTTTGCTTTTTTCTAGTTTCTATCCCTTTATTAATTTCACATTTATGATATTGGAGTATTTAATATTCTCCACTTAGCTTTCCTTTAGTCAACAAAATTATTTTACTTATCAATTATTAATTACTAATAACCTAATAAACTAAAAATAGAATCAAATTAATACACTCAATTTAACTTTATATGGACCACATCTCCCTTTTAGCTATTTTAATAGCCTTTTTTTTCTGTAAAAAAAATATATTATTTTTTAAACTTATATCTAAAGCCTACATGATTAGTTCATAGAGTTAGGGAATATTAATTATTAATATTGAAAAGTCTGATGAGAGAAACTTAGTTGGAAAGAAACTTAAGTTGCAAACGATATTCCACCACCACGCGTGAAGCAATCCATTCAACTTTTATAATCGTTTTAATGAAGTTTAGTTTAACCAAAATTTTCCGTAACGAACATAGTTCATCTCCAACGAAAAGATTGTAAAAACGATCTCCTACCACACATCTACTAAAAAAAATTAATCAAAATTTAAGTTAAACTAAATATAACTTAACTTAGATTATTGTTAGCCACGACGGAGGTTAAAATAATCCATTGATTTTTTTTTAAAGAACATTAGTGTTATTTTTTGTTGAATTGAAAAAAAAAGAAGTTTTTATGAATATCAGTGTTCTTTTTTGTTGAATTAAACAGAGGTTGTATGAATATTAGTATTTTCATTGTGAGTGAATTAGTAACCTTTAAATTTGAATCTCTACCACTTGTTTGTATTATAAATATTCTAGGAAAGAAAAATCTTAATATAACATTCAATTCAAAATTTAAATCGTCCACTTTTTATTTATTTATTTTCCCTACCAAACATATTAAATAGTTGGATAATTTAGGTGAGTGACTAAAATTAGACGCCTATTTTAAAAAATGGCCAATAATATCACATTTTGAACTCTTATGGTCGGGGTGAACTTTGGATAATTCTATAACCACAGGCCCATAGGCCGAAGAAGTTGCTGTGGAGGCTGAGTGGCCTTATAACTGCAGGCCCAGTTCGAAGGCTTTCAATTCCATCATGGGCCATGGGGAGCAGGCCGGCCCAGTGTGAACTTCCGTTGGATCTCTAGTCCTTGTTTTATGCTTAATTACTTCTTTTTTTTTTTTTAATTTCACCAATTAGAAAAAAATATTGATGAATCTAAATATTGAACATTATTAAAAAAAAAAATCATACTTTTATTTTTCATCCATTTAGGTAGTTTTCTTTCGTGTGCATGTGTGTATATAAAAATACTTCGAACAAGAAACTGATGAAGATATAATATAACTAATTTTTCAAATTAAAAATCATATTCAAGTAAGAGAGTGGCACAACTAATCTTTAAAAAAAATGTCTTCCACCCTATCTTCATTAGTCATCTTCAAGTAGAAACCTTGGATGATAATATTTATCCCACATTTGAAATATAATCTATAATTCAATTCCGCGAAAATGAAAATTCAACCATATACTTATTTCTACGTCGGGTTCATCTTGACTATAAAATAGTCAATAACATTATTTCTCATGATTTGAAAATATATGTGGAGATGGATGTCGAAGCCCTCCACGAATCGATAGAACATATTAGAATCCCTAAAATATGATAAAAAGTCTTGACAGAATATCGCTATAAAAAAAAAGTTGTCTCCCTATAAAAAATCAAACTCTCTATCTTCTTCCCACATTTTTTTTCTTGATTTGTTTTTATATGTTCTCTCCGCGAAAAAGAAAACCAAATGGGATGCTGCGATTTCTATTACCACCACAAATCACAAAGGACCAATATCAATTCGGAGAGAAAATAATATCTCAGCGATTCGAACACACTCTAATATCATCACCGAACCTAAAAGTTTCTCGTCTCGAAAAATTTAATGATTTATCCAATGACACACATCTCCATCATTTCTTGGTGGCTTCATTACAAGAGAATCTGAAATAGAGATTCACAGCAGCATACTTTTGAAAATTAAAAGAAAATATTTTTAGAAAAAAAAAAAAGAAAGATACCAAACACATTCTTGGACCACAAACCCACCAAGGAAGAAGCTTCAGTCTTTTCTTTTAGGTAACACACAATTTTCACATTTCCCAAACAAAGCAATTAGCAAAAACAAATTAATACAAAAAGAAATACAGTGCCCAGTTGTGCAATAACAGATGGTCCCTAAAATCCATGTCCCACTTTATTTTGTCACTTGCAAAAAAAAAAAAGCATGTTCACATGTTACAATTTCTCAATTATTGATTTATTTCTGTATATTCTATTCTTCCTGCTTTTTCTTTTTATATCTATTGTTGCTGCTTTTTTTTCTATGTCGTCCCACGGGCCTTTGAATCTTTTAAAGTTGTGTCTAATAAATTTTTAATTTTTTTTAGTTCAATAATACAGGATGAAGATTCGACTTTTTGATAGATAATATATGCTTTAACTAGCTCTCCACAGATTGGCTAAGTCTTTTTAACTTTAAAAAGTATAAAATAAGTTCCCGAACGTTGAATTTTATATCTATATATGGGTCACAAAATTTTAAAATTATCCAATATATTTTTAAGCTATTAATTATGTGCCTAATATATATTTATTCGAAATATTTTTTTAAATATAGGAACTTGTTAAATGTAAAATTGAAATTTCCAAAATTTATTAAACATTTAAATTTATTAGACACAAAATTGAAAGAACGTTTTTTAAACTCTAAGAATTTATTAAATACACTTTTGAAAATTATAAACTAAACTTATAATTTAATAGAACCACAGCCATTGAAGATAAAGAGATAATATAAGAGACGAAGAAATTATATATATTTTAAAATAGAATTTGGAGACTCGTGTGATTGTGTTTTCATGATATTTTTCTTTTTCGTATTTCATAACTATTAGAATTCTTTTACTTTTTGAATATTGTGTGCCTCTAATTTCATAATTTTTGTCTTCTAACTTTTTTGACAATGTATTCTTCATTCATTTAAGTTTACATAAATAGATAAATTCATATTTAAATGCATTTATATTATAACATTAAATAATAGAACAAGAGTTTTTCTTTATT